AGATTGTATGTATGATAATTATAAATAACTAACTTTTTGCGTCTCGCCTAGTTTTAATGTTGGTTTCTTAGTAAATAGGTCTTTTGTTGTATAGGTCTCAGTGCTTAGATTTCGTTCTTTGCAGTATTTTACTTTGACTTCATATGAGTTCATATCTGTGTTCTCTGTGCCATACTGTTTAGGCTGCGTTTCTTTCGGAGTTACGATGTTCTTGTACTGTTTAAGTCGGTCTTGAGCTGAATAACATGTATTATTGGTCTTGTATTGTTGTCTATTTTCGGTTTGTTTGAATTTATTTGATTGATGTACAATTTGTGGTTCTTCAGTTTTCCGGTATTTCATAAGTCTATCCTGGGCCGTATAACGTTTTTCGTTGTTCACTGGGTAACGTTTAGCGTTATATATTGTGTTATTGTTCGGCTTAAGTCCAAGTTTGTACACATTCTTCTTTGTATAATTCTTTTCATATCTATTGCCGACGTCTATGGGTTTCAAATTTTCAGCATTCCAAATCTGAGTGTTTAGACTTTTTTTAGATGTTGAATATGTCATTACAAGTTCATTTTTGTCAATACACACCTTAAAAAATATAAGTATAAATAACTATGCTATGTACACATATTTTCCACTTACGATGTTAAATACTTCTTTCTTTTTGATAACATTGGTAAGGATATTCATCGATGACGTGTCGAAAAATTGCCCACATATTCCTTGAAGTTTAACGCGATACTCTTCGGGCTGTTCAAGATTTTTGTCATTTACTTTGGTAACTGTTAAATTTTGCATGTAGTCATAATACCTTATGACAATCCGATCTCCTCTCTCTAACGGTGCCATAATTATGTTCAATAATATCGCAAATGAATTTGACGGCTGTTTTCTGAAATAGACTTGCGAATGTCGCGTTGATTTCAAGATTTTTGAATTTTGATTTCGACGCGGCTGAGACTAATAGACTAGTTTGGCTTCCACAAGAGCTTGTATGTTCATCGTTCGCTGGTTAGACTAAAAGTCCCAATGCATTTTCAGTTTACTAGATCTTTTATACTAATTTTTTTCCGTTTTTTTTGGCCAACAACATTATTTCAAAAATAAATATGTTATTTAACGATCATCATAATAAATTATTTTCAGCCAATATTTTAATATTCACATGTATTAAATGCTTTAAATCAGTATTAACATTCAATTTTCAAATGTTTATTCAATTTAAATATTGGCTGAAAACTATCTATTAAATAAAAAGCAATTGTAACTTAGTGACCGAAATAAGTTGTTTTATTAAACAAATTTAATAATTTTTAGCTAATCAATAAAAATATTTTGTTATATTAATTGGCTTAAATAAAAAGTAAACAAGACTTTTTGGCCAACGATAAATATCAATGCTAAAATAATTTTTTTCATTATGTATAAGTCGAAAAAATATAATTAAAATATTGGCTTAAAAAAATCTATTATGGTGATCGTTAAATAACATATTTATTTTTGAAATAATGTTGTTGGCCAAAAAAAACGGAAAAAAATTAGTATAAAAGATCTAGTAAACTGAAAATGCATTGGGACTTTTAGTCTAACCAGCGAACGATGAACATACAAGCTCTTGTGGAAGCCAAACTAGTCTATTAGTCTCAGCCGCGTCGAAATCAAAATTCAAAAATCTTGAAATCAACGCGACATTCGCAAGTCTATTTCAGAAAACAGCCGTCAAATTCATTTGCGATATTATTGAACATAATTATGGCACCGTTAGAGAGAGGAGATCGGATTGTCATAAGGTATTATGACTACATGCAAAATTTAACAGTTACCAAAGTAAATGACAAAAATCTTGAACAGCCCGAAGAGTATCGCGTTAAACTTCAAGGAATATGTGGGCAATTTTTCGACACGTCATCGATGAATATCCTTACCAATGTTATCAAAAAGAAAGAAGTATTTAACATCGTAAGTGGAAAATATGTGTACATAGCATAGTTATTTATACTTATATTTTTTAAGGTGTGTATTGACAAAAATGAACTTGTAATGACATATTCAACATCTAAAAAAAGTCTAAACACTCAGATTTGGAATGCTGAAAATTTGAAACCCATAGACGTCGGCAATAGATATGAAAAGAATTATACAAAGAAGAATGTGTACAAACTTGGACTTAAGCCGAACAATAACACAATATATAACGCTAAACGTTACCCAGTGAACAACGAAAAACGTTATACGGCCCAGGATAGACTTATGAAATACCGGAAGNTGGAAAAAATTTGACCTCTGGAATTGTCTTTGTGGTGAAAATGGCTACCAAATGCTATTTTTGTGTAAAAATTCTCGATTTTATATTTTACATTTTTTATTTTATAATGTTATAACTTATTGAAAAGTGTATGAATCAACACAATTTTTTTATGAGAAATAATATTTTTTAATAATTCCTTTTTCATTCAGGAAAATAGCAGATTATGTAGCTTTTGGAATAATCCATCAATTTTTTAAATTTAAACACTATCTAAAGATTTGCATCGAAGCGTTTTTTTTTATAGTGATTTTAATCACTGTCAGATATCATTATACTTTTTTTATATTGCATTTAAAACTACTTTAAATTATTCATTTTTATTATTATAATTTATTATTTAAATTGTTAATTACAAAAATGTAAATATATTCAAATCGCTAAAATTTCTTTTTATATAATTTTCTATTCAAGATTTTTTAAATTATTTCGGAAATAGGTTTAATTACATTTTTATTTTTAAATAATAAGCTGCAAATAATCAATAATAATTTTTTAAATTAAATTAAATTATATTTTAAGAACCGAATAAAGACTGAAATATTTATTAGCAAATAAAATTATCTGCGTTATTTAAAAAAATGTAGAATATAAGATATAAAATTTGAATTCTTTACATTTTTAGTTTACTTTCAATAGCAAGGCTGACCTTTATTTTGTTATATTATCAAGTAATCATTTAATAAATTATAAAAGTGTAATCTCATTTAATAATAATAGAAAATATTTGGGTATTATGACTTATATGCACTCTAAATATGATTTGTATTTTATTTTACAATATATAATAAGCTTAAATAAGAATGTACAGAATTTATATTTTATACCATTAGTAATGAATAAAAATATACAAAATAATCACTTTTTATACATGAATTGAATAATTTTTGTCTATTTCATTAGAAACTAAAATTGAACCGCATTATGAGAAAATAATCTAGTATTTGAAATTGAAAATTTATTAAATAATAGGTTTACTCCCATTAGTATAATAAAATTTAGGTGCGTCTTTTTTTTTTTTTCAATACTATACTAATTAATAATTTAATAATAATAAAATATGTCTAGGTATTATGAAATTTTTAATACATTAAATATGATTTATAATTTGTTTTACAATATATTGGCTTAGTAAATGTGAGAGTACAGAATTTATTTTTTTCTATCAATCACAACAATTAAACACATAAAATAATTAATTTTTAAAAATAGTATTGTAAAATATTTTTAATATTTATTAGCTATTAAAATTGACAGCATTACTCTAGTAGAATGGAAGTCTCTTCAGTCAGTCATTTATTGTTCTGTTCAGTACTCTTTTATAAGCATTGAATTGGTATCTCCTAACTGCCTACTTATGAATTTTTGTTACTTTTAAATAATAATCTGCAAAAAATAAATAAAATATCTTAAACAGTAAAATATTTGTGATATTTATTAGCTACTAAAAATGACAACGTTACCATAGTAGATTTCGGAGATACTATTTAGTGTCAGTTAGAGTGGCCGTTAATTATAAACTTTTAAAATTCTAGTGCCACCCCCTAGAATTGTTTGATTACATCAAGAGAGTTATTTATTATTTAAATTATTAAATTATTTTTTTATTTATTAAATTACTAATTAAAACAGTAATTTGCCTACAAGAGTTATATAAAATTTCTTCTCTAAAGTATTATAATATTGCTCTAAGTGATTAATTTATTCCATTGAACTAATTTTAAATAAAATTAATTTTATGTATCAAGTAAAATTAATTTATTTTGGTTACCACATAAGTCTTACCACTTTAGAAAATAGCAGGTTGTTGTCCAATTTCAAGTCCATTAGATTCATTCTAAGTGTTTTCAACCAAATCTTTTATTACTAGTTAAAAAAAAAAAATTATTCATACAAATCAAATATTAGGCATTGTGATTTTTATACAATACTAGAGTTGTTTTTAAACACTACACTACCTTTTAAAAATTATTTTTTCAACTATTTTAATGGTACTTTGATTAATATACAATATAATTCATGTAAGAACTATGTTAATGTACTTAGTAATTATACAGTATTATAATATTTCTAAAATACTTGAAAGAAATTAAATTTCCTTAACTATTCCTGTAATTAAGCCACTAAGATTGTAATACANGATTAATATACAATATAATTCATGTAAGAGCTATGTTAATGTACTTAGTAATTATACAGTATTATAATATTTCTAAAATATTTGAAAGAAATTAAATTCCCTTTACTATTCCTGTAATTAAGCCACTAAAATTGTAATACATAACACATACTTGTTGAAAATCTAAAATTTCAATTTTTTTGAAGTGACTGGTAAATTCACATTATCTATTTCAAGTTAACGAAGATTAAATATATGACTTTAATCCTCCTGAAACTTTAAATATAAATAAATATCTTTATATTAATTTATTCTTTTAAAAATTGTTGGGTATGTAGTTTTGTCGTCAATGATAAAAGCTTTTTAGGCTAATAAAAACGAAATATTTTCACAATTAAATTGATAGTTAACATCCACAAAATTTTACATGGAGAAGGTAAGTGTACATTTACATGATTATAATTTTTTAAAGTCTTTATGTAAAGTTGTTTAATTACTCACGAGTGTCAATGAATAATAAAATTAATAAAATTAATAAATAATATTATATGATTTAAAATTACAAAAATAACGAATGTGTCACCAGCAATAACACAATTAACAGTTTTCTCTTATTTTGTTATAACTTTAACCGGTGAAGTCAATAATAGAAATACTAAATATTTACGTTACCCACGTTAGATGATAAATCTTATTCTTATCACCCAAAATGTAACCTATCTTTATTAAATATTTTGATTTTGTACAATCGCCATTAAGTTAAGAAATATGGTTTTTGGATACTTCCCAAAAATAGCAAACAACCGTTAGCCAGTTATACATTTCGAGATATTTCTTTACTAAAAATCATTGTTTAATTCAATCGTATTTTCATTCCTCCAATTTTAATATGGTAAAAATAATTGCAGTCTTATTAAAAACTTAAATGAATCATGTGTNTGCCTGTGTTCAAAAGAACATCATCTCATATGCTCATTAAGTATAGTTGACAATTTAATAATTACATTATTTCGAAAAGACAGAACATAATTTATTTTGTCTTTTATTTCTGTTTGAGAATTTATTACATTTTTATTTTAGTTATGTTAAATGACTCTCCTTTGCTTTAATACATTTCATAATTAATTAAATGTAGTTACAAAAATACCGAGTTTCGAAGTTTTATTTATGGCAATTACTAAAGAATNTTCAATCGTATTTTCATTCCTCCAATTTTAATATGGTAAAAATAATTGCAGTCTTATTAAAAACTTAAATGAATCATGTGTCTTTATGTTTATAATATTTGCTTTCTATGTGTTTAATATATTTTTTATTTACTTTTATTGTACTTATAGTAAATACATTATTACTGATTTCAATGATAAAATACAAATATATCCACGGAAATGGGGAGGTCTTGTAAGTAACAAAGTTCAATGTAAGTATAACAAGAATGTTATAGAGTTTAATCAAGCAGTAAAAAATATGGTAGTATCTTCATAGTATCACGGTCTTTATGCAAATTAATTGGATCAACTCGTTAGTAAAAAGTACATTGATGTTACGCAAATTGTTACTATTTGAAATATTTTTATAATTTTCTTTAGATTCTTATATTAGAGGAATAGAAAAAGTGAACGAAGCAACACAGTAAAACCTATCTTCTGTTACCACTCATGACAATTAAACTCAAAAAAAAAATTTGTCACATTAGAGCCAAAATAATTCTAGATAAATCTACTCTATCATCAATTGTACAATTCTCTATTAATTTAAGTAACTTAAAATTGATTAAAGTTTTAATGAGTATTGATATTAAAGTCCATTATAATCTAATGCTCATGATATCTAGTATGTAATATTCGAGCAATGTAAAAGTAAATAAATAAAATTTGATTACTGATTACATTTATTTATTAATCGGTTAAATGTTAATCATTGAACTGTCAGAATCACTGTTTTAAGCACATAGCAAAATAGACATAACCCTTTATGTTAACGCTACATGTGAATGATACTATAATACACTTGTAATAATGGATATCACACTTTTCTACTATAAGTAAGAAAACAATTTAAAATATACTAATTGTATTTAACATAAAAATTAATTTTAAATTCTAGGAATCTCAAAATATTTTCATAATTATTTTCAAACATTATTTAACTTAAATTAAACAAAACAAATAACATATTAAGAATACATAATAATAGAATCATCCAAAGTACTTATTGGTTTCATATTTACACTCAATGGTACGACCGATTCTGGTTTATCCACATCAGTACTAATTTCAGGATTATTTGGCTCATTAGAATCCTCTATGTTAACCCTTGCAACTTCTTTTCCCTGTTTTTTATTCTTTATTATCTCATAATACTTTTCTATTTCAATAATCGTTCCTATCTCCTCAAAAATCTTCCACATATAATAATTTGGTCTATATATCTCTTATAACATTTTTGCAAAAACTTATCTTTACATATATATAAGCTCGTTTTAATATTGCTTTTTAAAATAGAATTACAACTATAGTGATCACTACAGTGGTAATAAGTATACAATTGAAATGTTGCTGGGAAAAAAGATAGTCAAATAATTCACTTAATAATTTTCTATGTTACTTTGCTGTTGTCAACCTTCTCATATATTTGTTTTATTATATTTCTCAATGCATAAAATGTTTGGCATTTTATATATCTAAATTATCTTAATGTTTCAATAAATTTCGTATTTAGTATTCTATGTTTTAAGTTAGTTCTAACATTATTTTGTACAATAGCACTAAATATACAAATTATATTATGAAAANATCTATGTTAACTTAAAAGTTAGTTCTAACATTATTTTGTACAATAGCACTAAATATACAAATTATATTATGAAAAATTTCTTTTTTAGAATTTAAAATGTCCTTATTTCCTAACTCATCAAAAAGAGGCATCATGATAGTTATGCACATGAATTTAAACAATGAAATAAAAAAGAAAATTTGATCAATGCAATCTTCTCGATTAATAATAGTAGTATATTGTATTAAAACATCTGTGAGTAATTGTATAAAAATCAAATGCCTAATATTTGATTTACATGAATAATTTTTTTTTATTTTTAGCTAGAAATATAAGATTTGGTTGAAAACATTTAGAATGAATCTAATTAAAATTGAACAACAACTTGCTATTTTCTTAGGTGGTAAGACTTAGAATGGTAACCAAAATGTATTAATTTTATTTAAAATTAATACAATGGAATAAATTAATTACTTAGAGCAATATTAAAATACAATTGAGAAGAAATTTTATCTTGTAGGCATATTACTGTCTTAATAAGTAATGATGATAATAATATATGATAGATTACTTAATCCTGTCAGTAACAAATTGTGTCTTTGTGTTTAAGTAACAGGATGCAATTCTGTTTTGGCTGAGCTTTGTAGGTTTCCTTGTGTTCTCTTATACAACCATAGCTTATAAAAGTGGATGTAAAACACTAATAATAATGATTAAAAACAATAAAAATTGTTAGTATTTATTACATTAAAAACAATATAATTTCTTTTTCCATTGTATTATAGACATTTTTTTAACATTATTTAAAATACCTTTAATAATCCTGTAAAATTCTACAAAATATTAACTAGAATAATCTAAATTTTATGGAACAATGTTTCTCATTAAATTAAGTAGAAATAAATATTAAAACTTATTTAATTGTTTAATATTATTTTTAGATGATCCTTTATCAAATAGTTCTGAATATGAATTGTATTACCAATCAAATACTAATAGAAATCAACAGGCTTTTTGGTTTGTTAAGGAAGATGTTTCACTAAAATTCATGGATGGCTTATTAAAATTTCACAAAGCATATGGTTTTTGTGATGATCTTCCAATATCTTAAAGAACATAGCTAAAAACCCTTCGAAGTACTATTATTAATGTAGTAGAAGATAAGGGAAGTAACTGGCATAATGAATTGCACTTTGGTTTAATTCAATTTTTAGAACAGTGTAGAACTTATCTTGTAAATGATTCAATTGAACTAATGGGCAATATTGATGGTTTATGTCATACTAATCCATCATTTAGTGAAGTAATGCCAATTTCAGGCTAAATACATAAAGTTAATTATGTATTTGTGATTAGTATGTATGATAGAAATTTGAAAAGCCTTTCAACATTGATGCTTAATTAGAAATCTTTATTGAATAATTAATTTGCCTCAATAAAAATGGTTTTACTTATGAGGGTAAACTTTTTAAGATGACTTAAAATTTTCTGTGTTGAAGAATATCTAAAATGGCTGAAAATTCATCGCATGCCTTTTTTTCTTCAGATTATGAAATTTGTCTAGTGTTGATTATTTTGATAGGCCACAATTAAAAAGCTGTTATCAGCCATCTTATAAAAAAATAACATTTAATAATTTTACTATTATTGCCAACGATAAAAAATATAATGCTTTATAATAATTTTCACGTTATTATACATTATTATTATAGAATTTAATGCAAACTTCATTCAGTTGCTTTTTATCCATATCGGTTCTTAATGTTTATAATGTTATGGTGTTAAGTAAAACGTTTAAAGAAGTGGCCTGTTGATGGAATTTAATAATATTATCTACTATCTAATGTCTAGTAATTTTTATTGTTACATTATGTGAACAATTATTGTACTTCAACAATCTTAACAACTTGAAATAAATTTAATTAACCATAAAAGGCACAAGTAGATTTTTAACATGTCCATGGTAAATTAAAATTGAATTGTTATTACCAGGTACCGACATATACAATAGTCTTAAATGGGTAGAATTATACTAGTAAAAAATTTTAGGGAAGGGAGAATTAAAATTTGTTTATAAAATTGTGCTTATTGATTAAACGTCTTGTTGCGTCCTATTAGTTTCTAGGTGGGGAATCCAACGAGGGACTTGCATAAGCCCAAAGATTTGTTAAAAAAACTACTTCAACATGTAGAAATTTGTTATTAATATAAATTTTGAGTTAATAATGCAGTTGTATTTACACTGTTAATGTTCATTCACTGGTCATGTTACACTATTTAAATTTAATTCTAATCCAATCATAATTTTATTAAATAAGTGCGAAGCAAGGGTTTATATATTCTTATTACTAACCATTAATAAACCGCAGTACTCCTCTTGATTTGTTATAAAAAAACTAATATCCTCTAAAAATTACAAACAATAATTATTAACTGTCAGTAATTTATTAACTAATTAAAAAATGCACAACGCCAAATTAAAATATAGACACAAAAAAAAAACGCAGTAAAATTAATACCTTCTCAGCTTCGCATCGAAGCTTAAATAATTGTTTTCAAATTATTATTGATTTTGATTTTTAATATATTAATCAGTCCAAAATTTAATTTTTAATCTATTTTTTTTGTCCTTTAAAGTTGATGAAAAATTATTGTGAAAGTTTAAAATCGTAAAAAAAATTGAATATGTTGCCATAACTTTTAGCTAAATTGCAAGTTTAAAATTGACATAATTAAATAGAAAATTTTATGAGAATTAAAAAAATGGTATTTTTATGATTAATATGCAGTCAGAAAATTTTATAATTACTATTTACAGTATATTTATCAGCTAAGCTCATTATTTTTTTATTTTTATCGTAATAGAACACTTAAATAGAAATAATAGTAATCATTTCTAAGTAACTTTTGTTGTTTGAAAAGATTCTACAATAATTATTGAAATATCCAGAACTGAATTAATTTTAATGATTTACTTTAACAAAAAAAAAAAATTTGAATCCCTCTTGTGGGCAGGTAAAGGGTCACATTTATATAAAAAAAAAACCAAATGATAGGTAAAGACATGCATCTATATAAAAAAAAAATTATACTGATTTGGTCATGTTTGATAAAGTTATAACAGTTAACAAAGTTAACACACAACAGAAATTATAAAAATAATAAAGTAGTTGTATATTCCTTTACTTTTAACGTGTATAAAAATATAAAGAGATTGATGCAATACTTTTTGATAAAAAATTTTTGTTACTTATGAATAAATACACTGGACTACAAGGAACTTACATCAGAAACAAAAATATCTTTTCTAAATCAACTTTTTGCGATGTTTTAAATGTGCAATTAGACTTTTTCTATCTAAATTTTAATATTATTACTTATTATTAAGAAATAATTAAGAAAAAAAAAATTGTTTTAAATTAATACTGATTTTGATTATTAATATGTTAAAAATAAGGAAAATAACATATTTAACCAATTTTTTTAATCTTTTAAAGTTGAATTGTGTGAAAGTTTATAGTAAAAAAAAAATTATTTATTACCATAACTTTTAGCTCAATTTGTAAGTTTGAAATTGACATCATTAAATAGAAAATTTTATGAGAATTAAAAAAATTGTATTGTTAAGATTAATATGCAGTCAGGAAATTTTGTTATTGCTATTTATAGTAAAATTATCAGAGTAGCTCAATATTTTTTTGCATTTATATCGTAATAGATAACTTAAATACATCAAATAGTTATCATTTCCTAGTAACTTTTGGCGTTTAAAAATATTCTAAAATTGAAATATGAACTGAATTAGTTTTAATGATTTACTTTAACTAAAATAACCAATAAAAAAAAAAAAACGCATAGTAAAATTAATACCTTCTTAGCTTCGCATCGAAGCTAAAAACGGTAGCACAGTGGGGTCGCGGCACAGTATGGACATGGCATAGTTGGAATAAGTATAGATGATATCTGACAGTGATTAAAATCACTATTAAAGAAACGCTTCGATGCAAATCTGTAGATAGTGTTTAATTTTAAGAAATTGGTAGATTATTTCAAAAGTAACAATAACTCTTATTTCCTTTATTTTATCCCGATTAGTTATTTGATTTCTAATTATAATATATAATTATTTGTATGATAGGCTAGGAACAAAGGAAGGTGAGAAAGAAATCTATAAACTTGCAAAAGTAAGAGAGAATAGGACTAAAGATTATCATTATATAAGGTGTATAAAAAGTGCTGATATTAGGTTACTCTTGAGTGATGACGATGTGAAAAGAAGGTGGAAAGAGTATTTTGAAAAAATACTGAATGAGGAGTATCCAAAAGAAACGTTAGAGAATATCTCGTGGAATGAGGGACTGGTAGATTTAATTAGTGAGAAAGAGGTATCGGAGGCTGTGGCATCAATGAAGAAGAATAAAGCAGTGAGACCAGATGAAGTGCCAGCAGAAGTATGGAAAATATTGGGCGGTGTTGGCAAAAGGTGGTTGAAGGAACTTTTAAATAAAATCTTATTTGAAGGGAAAATTTCAAATGATTGTAGGAATAGTATTGTGGTGCCGATATTTAAAGGTAAAGGAGACATACAGGAGTGTGGAAATTACAGAGGTATAAAGCTTATGAGTCACAGTATGAAAATTTGGGAAAATTAATAGATAAGAGAATAAGAAATGAGACATCGGAATCTAAAAACCAGTTTGGATTTATGCCTAGTAAGTCAACAATGGAGCCAGTATAATGTGTGAGGCAACTAATAGAAAAGTTTAGGGAAAAGAAAAAAAAGGTGTGTATGGTATTTATAGATTTGGAGAAAGCGTATGATAGAGTACTGAGAGAGGTTTTAAAGTGAGCATTAATGAAAAAAGGAAGGTTTTCGGTTAGGAATAGGAGTGCACCAATGTTCTGCTTTAAGCCCTTGCTTATTTTTTACTGTAATGGATAAAATTACTAGAGAAATACTAGGAGAGGTGCTGTGATGCATGTTGATGGCTGACGATATAGTATTAATAGGAGAAAATAGTGAGGAAATTAAGTCTAGAGGCATGGAAATCAGCTTTTGAAGAAAAGGCTTTAACAATACATAAGAGTCAGATTGGCTATATATATTGTTGGATTGTTGGGACGTCTTTCTGAAAATGTACTAAAAAGAAAAAAAATACCATTTGTTCTGCACCCAAAGAAAAACCTCAATCAAAATTGAAAGAGAAATTTTATCAAGGGTTTATGATAATGTTTTATTAATACGAACAAAATAACTATTCTTATAAATAATTATTGTTCAAGACAAGAAAAAAAATATCATATTGATAAATATATCATTGATTCATTAGTAATGATATATTTATCAAATTGAACAATGAATTTATTATATAGATCGAGGTTTTTCTCTGGGTGTGGGTCAGCTTTTTGAAAATTGGTATTATCTTAAATCCGTTAATAAATCAAAACATCAATTTTTTATGGGCCTATTTTTTACCCTCCAGAGACCAGAATTCAATTACCGACCCCTAGTTACTAGAATAATAAACCAAAAAGGCCTACTCTACGGCACTCCCCATCTACTCTACCCAATGATTACACATATTTCTATCCACCAGAATAATTTTATTTTTTGTACATTTTAAACAATTTAAAACTTACCGTAACGTTAACACATATTTAACTTTTAAATATTTTTTTACTAATAAATTACCTTTAAAAAGCTTTTTTTTAAATATAAATATGCCTAGTGATTAATAGTGAAAATAAATATTTACTTTGCATAGTTTCACCATAATTATTTAAACGCGTATAACCCACGACACATTTTGTAAAGTTTTTTTCGTAATTTCCTCATTAACTAACTCACAAATAATTATTTTTTAGTATTACTTATTTTTTTCTATAAATTGCTATTCGACATTTTGAGGCCAATTTCAGTATGGACAATTTAAAGGTAATATGACAAGACAAAATATTGAGTAGATATTATACACATACAAATTTAAGCACACAGTATCATTACGTCTTAGTGTTTCGATTATTAATGAAATATAATTAAAACACAGATGTTATGTTGACGAAATATGTTAGATTATATATTTTATATACACTTAATATATTTACATGGGGCTGGCCTAATTTGAGGGTAAGAACGTATGTTTCGGCGTACGGTGTCTCGGGTTAGATCCCCAGGGTGCCATCGAGACTTTTTTTGTGATTTTTACATTGCTGGTGTCTGGTCTCTGGTGCATAATACTCGTTCATCATTGACCTAGCCAAGAACCATCTTTGACTCTCGAACATGTGAAAGAGGGGCCACCGGCATTTATAGTGTCTTAAGTTTGTATCATGTTACATATAATGCACTGTGTTACTATTGCTATAACTGTTAAATGTTAATTATTAACTGTGGTGTTATCGTGCCACTATATACTGAATCATATATCAAACATTCTAAAAATTTCATTTTAGAATGTTTGTTCGGGGCAAAAAAGACATTTTCCTAAATATTTTAACTAGCAATTATATCACATAATATCAAGTATTATAAAAACCCCATGTACTGAGAGTGCAGTAATGTAGTAATTGTGAAATTATCTAGAACCTTCGTGCGTATATGCATTTTGTATAGCGTATCCATTACAAAGATTTTAGCTTATTTCATACATTACATCACTATCTACATCAGTGGTTCCCAACCTTTTATGAGTGTGACCCTAATACTTTAAATTTAACTTTTGGCGACCAAAAAAAAAAAAAAAAAACATAATTGCAAACAATACTTTCATTTATTAACACAAAATCGCTTAATATGTAGGTACATTAATCTATCCTCAAATACTAAATAAAATAAATTTATAAAATATTAATAAAAAACTGAACAAAATACGTGATTTACGTCATAAAATATTATAAAAATCAATTTATTATTTGTTTCAAATTTGACATGGTATAATTGTATTAACTCTTACTTAATGAATTCCTTGATGCTGAACATATTCCACGAGTTCTTCAATATTTGGATGTATATTCATTGAAAGTGCACATCGCATATCGTGTTGAGCATCAAGGCGATTTCTATACTTTGTTTTGATGACAACTAACGTAGAAAACCCGGCTTCACATAAGTATGTGGTTGGGAATGGTAGTAATGCATTTTCGGATTCTCTTGATAGAATGGGTTTATCTTTTAGTTGTGCCCAAAATTGCGTCCAAACACATTCTTGAAAAATTGTCTTTTAAGACTTGACTGGCTTAAAGGTCAAGAAGTTCTTCTTGGAACCCGCAAATGTCTTCACTAACTTCGTGAACAGAAACTTCAAAAGGATTTCTTACCCAACTGTATTTACTGAGCTCTACGTTTTCTGGTATGTATCGATCGAGTTCCAACTGTAATTTGTTCAAGTACTTTTGAAGCAGTAATTTTAAGTCATTTAATGTAACTTTTGTTGAATCTTCAAGAAATTCACTTAAAAGGGCAAATGTGGCAATTTTTCCTTGAGATAGTTTTTCCTGCCAAAGTCCGAGCTTTTGTTTGAATGATGAGATTTTTTCACCAATGTCGATCATTGTCCTATTCTTTCCTTGCATTTCAATATTCAATTCATTTAACCGTCCAAAAATATCACTTAAAAAAGCCAATTTAGCAACCTATGAATCGTCATTGAATTTATCAGCCAATGAGTGTTTTTTTTCAGTTAGAAAAATTTGTATTTCTAAACGCAAAGACATAACACGGGTAAGAATTTTTCTACGAAAAATCCAACGTACATCCGAGTGATAAAGTAAATTTACATACTGTGATCCCATCTCATCACACATGGCATGGAATATTCTTAAATTTAGTGCTCTAGCTTTTATAAAATTGACAATTTGAATTACGTCTTGAAGTACTGAATAAAGTTCTGGCTGAATTGCTCTAGTTGCTAAATTTTCACGATATAAAAAACAATGAATAATGACAACCTTTGAATTAATTTGCTGAACTCGTTTACAAAATCCTATTCGATTCCCAAACATTGCCAGTGCACCGTCCGAACAGATTCCAACGCAATTACACCAATCTAGATTATTTTCCCGAAAAAATCCATCAACTTCATTAAAAATATCTAAGCCAGTTGTCGATGTAAGAAGAGGATCACAAAATAAAAATTCTTCCCGAAAATCGTCAGTACTTCGATAACGAATGAATACCATTAATTGTGCGTTATTTTGAATATCAACAGATTCATCAATTTGTATTGAAAATTTATTAGCTGCAATCACTTGATGAACTAGCTGTTTTAAAATATTTTCAGACATAAGGTCTATTCTTCGTTTAACAGTGTTATCCGAAAGTGGGATTAATTCTAGTTTGTTAGCAATGTCATCTACGCAGACCGTTCTAACTATAGAAATAGCTGCTGGTTTAATCAGTTCCTCTCCAATGTTATGGGCCTTTTGAGAGCGTGCGATTTTCCAAGCAACGTCAAATGATGCTTTTGTTGTTTTTTGTAATGAAACTGTAAGTGTATTGGACGGACAATCAAGACGCATACGTTTTATTTTATTTTTATGTTCCTTCCAAAACTGTAATGGTTTATTTATCAATGTGGAGTGAACAGTGTTGAGATGCCACTTGAGTTTATTTTCCTTCATTGATTCATTAGACAAAACTTGCAAGCAGAATACACATTGAGAACGCACTAATCCTGATCGATCTTTTATTTCTGTAAAACCAAACTTCAAAAAAACATCTTTATACGGTAACGCGTGCTTAGCCATTACAAAAAGTTAAATCACTTGAATATTAAATAAGAATATAGATTTACACAATATCATTAAATTATCAATACTTATATACGTCCAGACGTAAGTTGTACATATTATATTTATACTATAAATATAATATGTATAAATTTTATACAAAACTACGATAAGGACACCATGAAAACCTCTGCGACCCGAGGTTGGGAACTGCTGATCTACATATATAACTACATCAATTGATATTGATAATATAATTTTAGTAATACCATTAGTTTGAAGATCGAACGACTTGAGTGGTCTTTTTAACGCTTTAAGTTTTTTGTGTGTATATGTTAGCATTGGTCTTATAGCATCGATTTTTTGATATACACGGGTACAGGTTTCAAAGTCTCTTGGTATGTAGGTACGTTTTGATAAGGATCTATTGTAGTATACTATTTTTTAAAATTCCTGCTTAGCTATTAGTTATTTTTCTTATGATAATCTTAGGGCTTTGGCTAATACTGGATACTTCGGTTGTTTGTATGAAATGGACAGTCATGCTTTGCGTTAATGTTGATGGGTTGGATTGATGACTTTAGTATATTTTTTAATCTGTCTAAATCGGTTTTAGTAGGATGCTTCTTCTTTTTCCTCGCCTTTATGCCGATTAAGGCTCAGAATGATGGAAAGGAGAGGAGAAAATTAATGTATGTGTGTGTGTGTTAGCGGGTTGATGAGAACGGGTACAAATCGCTTGTCGATGGTGTAAATATATACTGGCCAAAATGCCCCGTGTGTTGTGAACACCTAATTTTCATTCATCGAGGTCATCTCTTTAGTGTTTCGAAATATAATGAAAACACTGATTTTATATTAAAAAAAAAAGACACAATATTTATTTTATATACACTTAATATATTTACATATAATACATGTATGTCACATTGTGTGACATACTTGTTAACTCAGTTCTATAACTGTTAAATGTTAACTACAGTATTGCCACATTCCTATATATTATACAAAGAACATTTTAAGTATTTCATTTTAATATGTACGAGAATCTTAGTGTGTATATGCATTTTGTGTTGGTATATTCATCACGAAAATTATAGATCATTTCAGAATAACTACACTGGAGTTATTCATATTAATTTTACATTTGTGTAGCTAAAAATCATTAAATCACCCAAGTTACCCGTGCCAATAAATAGACTGAGCAATTCATCCAACAAAACGAACTCCATGTCCATTGGCGTTAAAAAAACCAAAGCGTTGACAAAAGTCAACAAAATTAAATTAAAGGATCAAAATACAGGTAAATATTTTTTTAAATGATTTTCTAATAAATGCTTATAGGTAAAATTACATCAGCTACTGAAACTCGGACAAATTTAAACAAAAAATCTGCTGAAACTCCTGAAATAATCGTAAACACACAAACGACATCTATTGATAATGCACCGAACAATTTTACCAATACAATCATTAAAGAATTCAAGCTAAAATATGAAGAAATAAAACAACGGCGTCATCGCAATAAACAATTTTATAACAACGATGAAATTTTATTGTCTGTATTAGCAGACGCTTTTAGTGAAAAACTTCAAAGGATACGGACCATTCGTAAAACTGACTCTTCCGAGGCAACTAAAGAAGAATTTAAAAAAAACTCTGTCTTGGGTAATGATAAAAATAACGAGTCTTTGCCTATAAGTCAGTTAGAGACTTTAAAAGAGCAAGCCGATATGAACTTACTCTCCTATAAATCCTATCCATTCGTCCCTCAGTCAGATGTTAAAAAATTACAAATTCGGTTACTTCAAAGTCTTCTTCGCGTTATGGTACAGCGAAAGTCAATCTTGCATCGAATAAAGTGAAATTCATGTCTGCGATCCCTGTTAAAATTCCAGGTAATAAAGTTTTTAATGGTCAGTCAGGACATAGAGGTCATTTAGCATCTGGCGTTCATAATATGGACACCTCTATGGTATCATCAAAACAAAACAACACAAACAAGAAATTTGTGTCTAAGATACCAACAAGGAACAATGTTTCAAAAGATAATAATATTAGTAATAATTCAATTATTTTTATGATGTTATTCACGAATAAATGATATTAAATATTACTTGATTTTTTAGGGAATAGTTCACTTAAGGTTTTAGATTTATCTTTGAACACTGGCAATACATTCAATAGGTATGCAGTTCAATGTCAAAGATTAAACAACTGTACTTCTCAATGCCGAACCCTATACCAAAAATTGTATTAAAAGGACCATTAAAATAACCACACATTATTAAAATTAATGGCATAGAAGGATAACTTTAACAACTATTGTTGTTATATCATGGAACTACTGCCTGAAATTCTTAATTAAATTTGTCTCTGTATGAAAAAAAAAATGATACAATATTAAATACTAGTCTTAAATATTTTATTTCATTGTTAATCAAAAACATCACACTAAGATTTATGTACATTAGTTGATATTTTGACAATTTTGTGTTTGTATATGGCCATAGTAGATGATCATAATGTAGTTAAGATTTAATAAATATTTATTTATACATATTTTTGTGTAATTATTAATCGATTATTAAACCATTCATGTATTACATAACTAATAATTGAAATAGTGACATGGAAAAGATATTTAGCCCAAAAAAACAATTTAATATTTTGTTTTTTTTATGAACAACATTATCATATCCTTAAAGTCTCTGACCAAAATAAATCTATTTTCGTAAAAATAGTTGAAAATAATAAGACGCTTATTATAAGTTCGCGTAATTTAGATAGATGGTTTTTCATTCTACTATAAAATTTTGATTTTATAACAGTACTTTTAATATTGAATGGTTTTTGAATATGCATCATTTTATATCTTTACATATATACTAGTAATTTCCATTCGTAGAGAGACGATTTGAACATTGATTCAAGAGCCGATTAATAAATTAACAATGTGCTTTGTATACCAGTGAAATTAATTTAATTAACGCCTTTAAGGTTCTTCCTTATAAATATCATTAATACCTCTTTTTATGAGTGGAGTGACTAGAGAAGATAGGATAAGGAACGAACATATAAGAGGAAGTATATGTGTCAATTGTGGATAAGATGAGAGAAAATAGATTTGGATTGTTATTGAATGCGATATGGGGACAGTTGATGTATGCATAGACGATGTGGTAGATTATGTCAAGTGGAAGTTTAAAATAAGGCTAGGCCTACCCCAAGTATTTGGGATTAAGGCGAGAAAAAGAAGAAGAATTTATTTAAATGTAATACATACATGCCATGTTGTAGTTGAATACATTCAACTTATATTCAATGATTTTACTTACAGGTAAGACTTAGTTAGGATGCCTACGTTTAAAAATTACTATAAATACAAATTATAATTAATTGTAACTAAATTATAATTAAGAACAATATTTGCATGATTGTGTAATAAAGTGAATTGAAACTGCACTATTGTCAAATTATATTACACCAATAAAAATATTTCAATACCTACACATATTTTACAATTTTCTATTAAAATTAATCACTACAAACATGAATATTAAATAATGAAAGGCTAACACTCACCAAATGAGTAAGTACCTAATATATTAAGCTCAAATATCTTTTAGCTTCGATGCGAAGCTGTGAAGGTATTGGTTTTACTATGATGTGTGTTTTTTTTTGTTACCACTTTTTCTCAGCTCTCACCGAACGGATTTCTTTCAACGATACGTCAAAAGATCACAAATAATATCTAGTCGAAGATATTACCCTTAAAAATTGAAAAAATTTCCCTCTTTCCCCGTAAATGGGGGAAACCTCCAAAAAAATTACAAATTTAAAAATCGCTAATTTTCGAATTTTTTTTACTAAAAACTGCCGTCACTTTTTCAAAAATGAACATATCAATATAATTTTTTTTATATAGATGCTTGATGTCTTTACTTATCATTTGGTATATTTTTTTTGTAAAGCTGACCCTTTATCTGCCCACAGGGGCGGATTTAAAATGACAACTTTTTCACAAAAAATTAAGTTTTGAAAATGTTCCGGAAGGTCTGACACTTTTATATATATCTTAAATTAAAGCTAATGTAATTTACTTTAATTTGAAAAAAAAAATTTGACCTCTGGACTTGTCTTCATGGTGAAAACGGCTACCGAATGCTATTTTTGTGTGAAAATTTTCGATTTTATAATTTACATTTTTTACTTTAAAGTGCTATAACTTTTTAAAAAATGTATGGATCAATATAATTTTTTCATAAGAAGTAGTATTTATATACATCTTCCATTGGATATACTTTTTTTTTAAATCAGACTATTTCCCTATATATGGGAAAAAATTATCTTTTTCAACTTAACTTTTGAAAATGTTCCGGAAGGTCTGACACTTTTATATATATCTTAAATTAAAGCTAATGTAATATACTTTAATTTGAAAAAAAAAAATTTGACCTCTGGACTTGTCTTCACGGCGAAAATGGCTACCGAATGCTATTTTCGTGTGAAAATTCTCGATTTTATTATTTATATTATATTTAACTTTATAATGCTATAACTTATTGAAAAGTTTATGGATCCACACAATTTTTTTATGAGAAATAATATTTTTTAATAAACCCTTTTTCATTCGACATACTTTATCTTAATCGAGATATTAATAAGGAACCAGCAGATCAAGTAGCTTTTGGAATAAAACACCAATTTTTTTAAAATTAAACACTATCTAAAGATTTGCATCGAAGCGTTTATTTTTGATAGTGATTTTAATCACTGTCAGATATCATTATACTTGATCCAACTATGCCATGTCACCACTGTGCCGCGACACCCCTTTGCTGGTTTTTTTTTTTCATTTTACGGTTAATTTTTTTCATGTTATACTTACATTAGACACAATATTATAAATGCATATGTGTGTATGTGTGAGTTTATTTATTTATAGTATCATTAAAGTGTAGTGTATATTAAGATACAACCGATAGTGTAGGTATTTGATTTGACGCTATATTGTTTAAACCCAACTAAACGCTAAATTGTACATTCCCAAACAACAATTATATTATGTCAATTGCCACCGGAATTTCTGATAATAATAAAGATAATTGTCATAAAACGGCCTTTAGTCAGGTGCTGGAGCTGGAAAAATTGTGACTGCCGAAAAACAGGGCTTAACTGTTCTATTATATGTGAACATTGCAAAGGTCAATGGCGTACAAATTCAATAGAAATAAAGATTGAAGATAAAGAAATTTGTACTTTTGTTGAAAATATATTCTATCAAAATTTAGAATGGGAAACTGAATAAGAAAATGGAAAAAAATTTTGTTTCATACATTTGTCAAATAACTTTATCGTTGAGAAATTCTCCATCGATTACATACTTTGCACTAGTAATGCATATAACTTGTATTTAGAATATAAATAAAGAAATAGGAGATCATGTAGCTTTTGTAATAATCCATTAAAATTTTAAAATTAAACACTATCTACAAATTTGCATCAAGGCGTTGTTTTTTGATAATATTTTAATCACTGTCTCATATCATCTAAACCAGAGTTCCTCAAAGTGTGGTCCGCGGACCCCCAGGGGTCCGCGAGCACATATCAGGGTTAGGTCTTTAAAACTGTAGGTCTTTAGAGGGGGGTCCGTGATTCATTTGACTTTGAGAACCTCTGATCTAAACTGCACTCAATTATAGACAATGTGCCGGGACACTGCTGGTTTTTTTTTTAAATAGCGATTAGTTGAAATAGTAACAATGGGTTTACTTTTATTATTTCATTATTAATTTTAACAATAGAAGTTATTGAAGATACAGTTTATTTAACCTTTCAAGATTTATTTCATGAAAGTTATTATCCACCATTGAGTTTACTTGAATAAGACTAATTTTAGACACTTATGACAATTAATTTTATCATTAGCAGAAATTCTGGCTGGGTCGACAAAAGAAAACATGAGGTAGGTGAAATGAGGAAATCAGTGACAATAGGCAAGACTGTGAATGGGGAGGTAGAAAGTTTTAAGTATTTAGGATCAGTAGTGCAAATGAGCGGTGGTATTGACGAGAATGTAAGACACAGGATTAAGTACGGGTGGTTGAAGTAGAGAGAAGCGTCTGGTGTCTTATGCGATAAAAGAATTCCAGTGAGGTTAAAAGGTAAATTCTACAACAATGTAGTGAGACCAGCTATGATGTATGGTTCAGAGTGTTAGGCAGTTGATAAGAAAGTAGAGCAGGAGAATGAGTGTAGCCGAGATGAAAATGCTTAGTTGGATGAGTGGAGTAACTAAAAAAGATAGAATAAAGAACGAGCATATAAGATGGAGTATAAGTGTAGCGTAGATAAGATAAGAGAAAATAGACTTAGATGATTTAGTCATGTTATGAGGAGAGAAGAATCGGAAGCTGTAAGAATAGTTATAGAAATGAATGTTGAAGAAAGAAGAGGTAGAGGAATACCAAAAAAGAGATTGAGGGATGTTATTGTATGCGATATGAGGACAGCTAATGTGAGCGTAGATGTGGAGATTGTGTCAAGTGGAAGTTAAGGATGAGGGTGGCCGACCCCAAGTAGATGGGATTAAGGCAAAGAAAAAGAAAAAGATTAGCAGAAATTCTGGTGGCAATTGACATAATATAATTGTTGTTTGGGAATGTACAATTTAGCGTTTAGTTGGGTTTAAACAATATAGCGTCAAATCAAATACCTACTCTATCGGTTGTATCTTAATATACACTACACTTTAATGATACTATAAATAAATAAACTCACACATACACACATATGCATTTATAA